GATGAACACCCAGAACTTTCTACTAGAGTTTACAGATGATGAACACCCAGAACATTCCACTAGAGTTTACAGATGATGAACACCCAGAACTTTCCACTAGAGTTTACAGATGATGAACACCCAGAACTTTCCACTAGAGTTTACAGATGATGAACACCCAGAACTTTCCACTAGAGTTTACAGATGATGAACACCCAGAACTTTCCACTAGAGTTTACAGATGATGAACACCCAGAACTTTCCACTAGAGTTTACAGATGATGAACACCCAGAACTTTCCACTAGAGTTTACAGATGATGAACACCCAGAACTTTCCACTAGAGTTTACAGATGATGAACACCCAGAACATTCCACTAGTTTACAGATGATGAACACCCAGAACATTCCACTAGATTTTACAGATGATGAACACCCAGAACATTCCACTAGTTTACAGATGATGAACACCCAGAACATTCCACTAGTTTACAGATGATGAACACCCAGAACATTCCACTAATTTACAGATGATGAACACCCAGAACATTCCACTAGTTTACAGATGATGAACACCCAGAACGTTCCATTCGAGTTTACAGATGATGAACACCCAGAACATTCCACTAGAGTTTACAGATGATGAACACCCAGAACATTCCACTAGTTTACAGATGATGAACACCCAGAACATTCCACTAGTTTACAGATGATGAACACCCAGAACATTCCACTAGTTTACAGATGATGAACACCCAGAACGTTCCACTAGTTTACAGATGATGAACACCCAGAACATTCCACTAGTTTACAGATGATGAACACCCAGAACATTCCACTAGTTTACAGATGATGAACACCCAGAACATTCCACTAGTTTACAGATGATGAACACCCAGAACATTCCACTAGTTTACAGATGATGAACACCCAGAACATTCCACTAGTTTCAGATGATGAACACCCAGAACATTCCACTAGAGTTTACAGATGATAAACACCCAGAACGTTCCACTAGAGTTTACAGATGATAAACACCCAGAACTTTCTACTATAGTTTACAGATGATGAACACCCAGAACTTTCTACTAGAGTTTACAGATGATAAACACCCAGAACTTTCTACTATAGTTTACAGATGATGAACACCCAGAACATTCCACTAGAGTTTACAGATGATGAACACCCAGAACTTTCTACTAGAGTTTACAGATGATCAACGCCAAGAAGAAGAAAAGTACTACTAGTCTGCAGAAAGGTTCAAATGTCCATTATCACTGGCCCCAGTTGCCGGAGTGGCGGGACGGGACCAATGCGGGGATGCCATGCCGGATGCATGCTTTTTTCCATATTGTTGAGCTAAATTTTCAGAAGAAACAACGTTAAAAGTGTCTTACGTGTTGAAGAAGCATGTCCCTATTAGTATGGTCACTGAAGTCCTGGCAATGAAGGCTGCTTTCTGTTGATCTCTGGATAGCGCAGCCTGTGACGGTCATGTGTAGGATGTGACTATTCCTTGGGTCAGCCCAGGACCATGGCATCATGTGTCGGCTCTGTATTTATGGAAGCCTCCTTGTATGGTGGGGAATGCCCAGTATCTGCCCCTGCCTTCCCTTATAGGCCAATCAGTCTACACACAGTTGCCCTGGACGTGTTCTTCATGGGCAACACCTTGGATAAGAGGAACAAGAGAACACAAAACAAATACGACTATGTCATGTCCCTCAAAATTATCCGGGAAGTTCCCCCCAGTCAACAAATACTCGATGAAGTTGGATGTGTCAGCCGAACGGCGCAAATATCGCAGCTCTGCTGTAAAATGACAAAAGCAGTTATGCCACTCAGATGTATGAAAAGAAGAAGAAATACAAATGACTATTTAGTTAATTAAAACCCTGGAATCTTCAACAACTGTTAATTGTGCAACAACTACTTGGCTACAGCTACAAACCAGGAATCAACATTTAAAAAAAAAGTACTGAAACAAGTTTTACAGTTGGAGTAAGTAAGTATAAAATAAAAATAATTATTTACTTAAAATCCTGGAATCTTCATACGAACTGTGCAACAATGATCTGGCTACAGCTACAAACTAGGAATCAACTAGAAAATACTGGGGGGGGGGGGAAGACTTACAGATGGAGCTAGAGTAAGTTATTCACTGATACAATGAACGTTTGAGTAATACTTGAGCTTCATGGTCCGGAATATTTACTCCAATAGTGTCCTTAATAAAATGGACACAATTTCTTTTTGTCTGGGACAGTCGTAAATTTGTTTTTGAATTATACATTTAGAAATTGGTAAGTAGGTCAGGGATACTTCTCACAATTTAGGCACACTGGGTATATAGTGCTAAACCAATATTTTCACAGACAATCTGCACTTTCTGCGTATAGTCAACATCATGCCATCTGCCTTTGCTTCCTAAGAAGCCATCTCAGACTGGATCGATATTAGAGTCAATGTCAATTTTTAAATAAATCAGCCTTGATGCAAATTTAAATCCTGAACTGTCAGGCCTACAGGCAATGTCTAGCAACTACATATCACAGCTTCCTTCGAAGTTGGTGAATTGTCTTCTTAACAAAACACAGAATGTGGCTGAAATTTAGACTTTGTATGTGACCAACACGAACTAAACAGATGAAAAGGCTGAAACTACCCCATAACAACAGATATCAATTAAACATGAAATATTAACTCAAATATGCACCTTGTTCTAAGCATCAATATGTACAGCATATTTAATCCATTCTAATTATCTGTGATGGTTAAGTCATTAGTTACACAAACAATTAATGATATACTCATGGAGAAGTTGAACATATGTTATTGAAGCACTTTATCTCTCAGAGAGAGAGAGAGAGAGAGAGAGAGAGAGAGAGAGAGAGAGAGAGAGAGAGAGAGAGAGAGAGAGAGAGAGAGAGAGAGAGAGAGAGAGAGAGAGAGAGAGAGAGAGAGAGAGAGAGAGAAACCAAATGGAAAAGTTGAACAGATGTTATTGCAGCACTTTATCTCTCAGACAGAGAATAATGCTTCGGCCTCAGATATTTGATTTTCTTCTCAACAGCAGCAGACATCATCTTAGCTAAAATATGAAATTTCATAACACTGGATTTGTCTTCCTTTCTTCTTCTGTTGATATCCGCTTTGTGTCGAAGTTTACCAAAAACACACTGAGCTCGGTTCATTGGTGTGTTGATGTGTTGTGAAGTCTTAGGCTGTCACTGACTCTTTCAATCCATCTTCTTCTAGGTCTCCCTCTGCCTCTTAATCTTTTCAGAGTAGGTTTAGTCTTCTCAGGGCGATAAGGTTAACACTGGATCTAATAAATAAATTATCTACTTTTGATGTTCTGTCTCAGCCGTCAGCCGGTCTGCAAAATATTTCTCCTCTTTTCCCAGACTCCATGTTTATGAGTGCTCTAAACTACAATTTTCACATCTGCTTTAGAAGTCCCATATTTTTCTACAAAGCACTCTGGCAGGCAATCTGAAACTTCCAGGCTAAACTCTGCCTGTACATCACATCCCTAGCTCACCCATACATACAAACATTCACAAAAATATCACTTTCTGGGTATTACTCTTTCTGTGCTCGGACAGCCGTTCTTTGCTGTTTCAAACAGCTGTCACTGTCATGCTCTCTACTAAAAACAGTTTTTACAGCAAACCATACTGAAGTGTGACAGAGTTAAAGTAATAAACAGTTCATGAGATACAGTGGGTTTCTGCACAAAATGCGATAAGAGAAGTTAAGAAACTATTTCATAAAAAAACTTAATTCATCAAAACATGGATGTGAAATTTTTGGTAAAAGGCACAAGAAATATGAAAATACCTAAAACACATCACAAGAGACGTGAACAATATAGGAAAGACAAGGATGGTGCAACAAGAGACTGAGGCTGAGGAGAAGCAAGACATTGGAGTACCTATAGAACTGTCCAGAGTGCTGTGATAATAGTCCTTATCAGGGCTTTTTTTTTTCCTAGAACAAAAGGTGCCGGTAGTCACCACAGTTTCTTTACAAGGTGCTGGTACTCACAACAAATTGTCCACTATAGAAGCACTGTAAAAAAAAAAAGTGCCTAAAACATTTCCGGTGCTGTGTAAGTAAAGGACCCTCTTCCATGCCTTCAGGGTGTATCTGGTTTATAGGGCTAGACCTATATTTTACAGAGCCAGCACTCGGTGGATGATGTGATAGGCACCATGTCATGTACTATGTAGCCTTGACCACACACACACACACACACAAAAACACATCCCTGCTCTTGTTTTATCATAAGAGAAATGAGAACTGATAGTGCAGTGGTTGAGTTAGCAAAAAAGAATGACCTGACACATATGAATTAGGGCTGCTGAAAATCAAAGTCTTGCTGTCTCAAATCATTTCCTTTGCTTAGAGAGAAGGTGTTATCACCCACTAAAGGAATCTCTGAACTGGAAGAAAAATAATGTATACAGAGAAGAATTAGCGCTGAGCTAAGTTAGGACTTGATGGCCATGCCAACACCATGATTAGAACAGTTCAGTGCGGACCTAATAGGAGGGAGAACTCACCATGGACCCAAGAAATGGTTCTTCTTGTCAGAAATTCCTCTTATCCAGTTAAGAATTCAAGCAAGAAAAATTGCAGGGGAAAAGCAAATTGTTATTCCTAAGAGACATTTGCCACACACAAGATTACCTCAAGCGGCCTGCATTGTATTTAGATCCACTGATGATGTTAAATAAATGTAACAAAGGCTAAACTCTGCCTGTACATGGCAGGCTAAAATTGCATATTCAAAAACGTGACAATTGCCCTTTTGAAGGCAAAGGCACAAGATGATGATGGTGAAGAAGCCGTTGTGATCGATGACAAGTGGAAGAATACTGGTGCTGCCCTACAAGATGTCACATATTTACCATTCAACAGCTAAAGACACAGAGAATAATGTTGGCACACTAATTCAGCTTCGAACAACAAAACATCTGTGCATCTGGACTCAACTGTCAACAATGATTCTTCTCCTCATCCCCAGAGATCTTCTGTCCGACCAAACTTGTACAAAAAAGCACTGAAACAAAAAAGTCCAGTTTAAAAAAAAAATTTCTTCAACTGATCTGTGTTGTGTGGTGAAGAACTAGCTTGCTGACCAGAGGTCAGTGTCATGTGTCACTAGGGCATGTAAACACAGGCTAGCCTTTTTCTGTGGAAAAAAAAAAAAACTGCTCACCTTGAACCCTCACTGCAATACTGACTTGGCTAATAAAAATGTCATATTCTTACACATCACTTAAGTAGTTGACATAATGTGGATAATCCCAAGATAAAATATGCACTTGTGAAATTCCAGTCTGTGAATTACCATAAAACATCATTAGTCATTTGACAAGATCCTAAACTGTCATATAAACAAAACAATAAGGCAAACACTTGTGAGATCCAAGACTGTAATTACATTTGTGAGATCCAAGACTGTAATTACAATAGGGAGCTCCAAGACTCTAGTCAAAACTGTGAGCTAAAAGACTGCAGTCACAACTGTGAGCTCCAAGACTGCAGTCACAACTGTGAGCTCCAAGACTACAGTCACAACTGTGAACTCCAAGACTACAGTCACAACTGTGAGCTCCAAGACTACAGTCACAACTGTGAGCTCCAAGACTGCAGTCACAACTGTGAGCTCCAAGACTGCAGTCACAACTGTGAGCTCCAAGACTGCAGTCACAACTGTGAGCTCCAAGACTGCAGTCACAACTGTGAGCTCCAAGACTGCAGTCACAACTGTGAGCTCCAAGACTACAGTCACAACTGTGAGCTCCAAGACTACAGTCACAACTGTGAGCTCCAAGACTACAGTCACAACTGTGAGCTCCAAGACTGCAGTCACAACTGTGAGCTCCAAGACTGCAGTCACAACTGTGAGCTCCAAGACCCCTGCAGCAGTCACAACTGTGAGCTCCAAGACTACAGTCACAACTGTGAGCTCCAAGACTACAGTCACAACTGTGAGCTCCAAGACTACAGTCACAACTGTGAGCTCCAAGACTACAGTCACAACTGTGAGCTCCAAGACTGCAGTCACAGCTGTGAGCTCCAAGACTGCAGTCACAACTGTGAGCTCCAAGACTGCAGTCACAAGTGTGAGCTCCAAGACTACAGTCACAACTGTGAGCTCCAAGACTGCAGTCACAACTGTGAGCTCCAAGACTGCAGTCACAACTGTGAGCTCCAAGACTGCAGTCACAAGTGTGAGCTCCAAGACTCCAGTCACAACTGTGAGCTCCAAGACTGCAGTCACAACTGTGAGCTCCAAGACTGCAGTCACAAGTGTGAGCTCCAAGACTGCAGTCACAACTGTGAGCTCCAAGACTGCAGTCACAAGTGTGAGCTCCAAGACTGCAGTCACAACTGTGAGCTCCAAGACTGCAGTCACAAGTGTGAGCTCCAAGACTGCAGTCACAACTGTGAGCTCCAAGACTGCAGTCACAACTGTGAGCTCCAAGACTACAGTCACAACTGTGAGCTCCAAGACTGCAGTCACAAGTGTGAGCTCCAAGACTGCAGTCACAACTGTGAGCTCCAAGACTGCAGTCACAGCTGTGAGCTCCAAGACTGCAGTCACAACTGTGAGCTCCAAGACTACAGTCACAACTGTGAGCTCCAAGACTACAGTCACAACTGTGAGCTCCAAGACTGCAGTCACAACTGTGAGCTCTAAGACTACAGTCACAACTGTGAGCTCCAAGACTGCAGTCCCAACTGTGAGCTCCAAGACTGCAGTCACAACTGTGAGCTCCAAGACTGCAGTCACAACTGTGAGCTCCAAGACTGCAGTCACAACTGTGAGCTCCAAGACTGCAGTCACAAGTGTGAGCTCCAAGACTACAGTCACAACTGTGAGCTCCAAGACTGCAGTCACAACTGTGAGCTCCAAGACTGCAGTCACAAGTGTGAGCTCCAAGACTGCAGTCACAACTGTGAGCTCCAAGACTGCAGTCACAACTGTGAGCTCCAAGACTGCAGTCACAAGTGTGAGCTCCAAGACTACAGTCACAACTGTGAGCTCCAAGACTACAGTCACAACTGTGAGCTCCAAGACTACAGTCACAACTGTGAGCTCCAAGACTACAGTCACAGCTGTGAGCTCTAAGACTACAGTCACAACTGTGAGCTCCAAGACTACAGTCACAGCTGTGAGCTCCAAGACTGCAGTCACAAGTGTGAGCTCCAAGACTGCAGTCACAACTGTGAGCTCCAAGACTACAGTCACAACTGTGAGCTCCAAGACTACAGTCACAACTGTGAGCTCCAAGACTACAGTCACAAGTGTGAGCTCCAAGACTACAGTCACAGCTGTGAGCTCTAAGACTGCAGTCACAACTGTGAGCTCCAAGACTACAGTCACAACTGTGAGCTCCAAGACTACAGTCACAACTGTGAGCTCCAAGACTACAGTCACAACTGTGAGCTCCAAGACTACAGTCACAACTGTGAGCTCCAAGACTACAGTCACAACTGTGAGCTCCAAGACTGCAGTCACAGCTGTGAGCTCCAAGACTGCAGTCACAACTGTGAGCTCCAAGACTACAGTCACAACTGTGAGCTCCAAGACTACAGTCACAACTGTGAGCTCCAAGACTGCAGTCACAACTGTGAGCTCCAAGACTCTAGTCACAACTGTGAGCTCCAAGACTACAGTCACAACTGTGAGCTCCAAGACTCTAGTCACAACTGTGAGCTCCAAGACTACAGTCACAACTGTGAGCTCCAAGACTGCAGTCACAAGTGTGAGCTCCAAGACTACAGTCACAACTGTGAGCTCCAAGACTGCAGTCACAACTGTGAGCTCCAAGACTGCAGTCACAAGTGTGAGCTCCAAGACTGCAGTCACAACTGTGAGCTCCAAGACTCCAGTCACAGCTGTGAGCTCCAAGACTGCAGTCACAACTGTGAGCTCCAAGACTCCAGTCACAACTGTGAGCTCCAAGACTACAGTCACAACTGTGAGCTCCAAGACTACAGTCACAACTGTGAGCTCCAAGACTACAGTCACAACTGTGAGCTCCAAGACTGCAGTCACAACTGTGAGCTCCAAGACTACAGTCACAACTGTGAGCTCCAAGACTGCAGTCACAACTGTGAGCTCTAAGACTGCAGTCACAACTGTGAGCTCTAAGACTGCAGTCACAACTGTGAGCTCCAAGACTACAGTCACAACTGTGAGCTCCAAGACTACAGTCACAACTGTGAGCTCCAAGACTACAGTCACAACTGTGAGCTAAAAGACTGCAGTCACAGCTGTGAGCTCCAAGACTACAGTCACAACTGTGAGCTCCAAGACTGCAGTCACAACTGTGAGCTAAAAGACTGCAGTCACAGCTGTGAGCTCCAAGACTACAGTCACAACTGTGAGCTCCAAGACTGCAGTCACAACTGTGAGCTCCAAGACTACAGTCACAACTGTGAGCTCCAAGACTACAGTCACAACTGTGAGCTCCAAGACTACAGTCACAACTGTGAGCTCCAAGACTACAGTCACAACTGTGAGCTCCAAGACTACAGTCACAACTGTGAGCTCTAAGACTGCAGTCACAACTGTGAGCTCCAAGACTCTAGTCACAACTGTGAGCTCCAAGACCACAGTCACAACTGTGAGCTCCAAGACTACAGTCACAACTGTGAGCTCCAAGACTGCAGTCACAACTGTGAGCTCCAAGACTCTAGTCACAACTGTGAGCTCCAAGACTGCAGTCACAACTGTGAGCTCCAAGACTGCAGTCACAACTGTGAGCTCCAAGACTACAGTCACAACTGTGAGTTCCAAGACTGCAGTCACAACTGTGAGCTAAAAGACTGCAGTCACAGCTGTGAGCTCCAAGACTGCAGTCACAACTGTGAGCTCCAAGACTGCAGTCACAACTGTGAGCTCCAAGACTACAGTCACAACTGTGAGCTCCAAGACTACAGTCACAACTGTGAGCTCCAAGACTACAGTCACAACTGTGAGCTCCAAGACTACAGTCACAACTGTGAGCTCCAAGACTACAGTCACAACTGTGAGCTCTAAGACTGCAGTCACAACTGTGAGCTCCAAGACTCTAGTCACAACTGTGAGCTCCAAGACTACAGTCACAACTGTGAGCTCCAAGACTACAGTCACAACTGTGAGCTCCAAGACTGCAGTCACAACTGTGAGCTCCAAGACTCTAGTCACAACTGTGAGCTCCAAGACTGCAGTCACAACTGTGAGCTCCAAGACTGCAGTCACAACTGTGAGCTCCAAGACTGCAGTCACAAGTGTGAGCTCCAAGACTGCAGTCACAACTGTGAGCTCCAAGACTCCAGTCACAGCTGTGAGCTCCAAGACTGCAGTCACAACTGTGAGCTCCAAGACTCCAGTCACAACTGTGAGCTCCAAGACTACAGTCACAACTGTGAGCTCCAAGACTACAGTCACAACTGTGAGCTCCAAGACTACAGTCACAACTGTGAGCTCCAAGACTGCAGTCACAACTGTGAGCTCCAAGACTACAGTCACAACTGTGAGCTCCAAGACTGCAGTCACAACTGTGAGCTCCAAGACTGCAGTCACAACTGTGAGCTCCAAGACTACAGTCACAACTGAGACCTCTAAGAATGCAGTCACAACTGAGAGCTCTAAGACTGCAGTCACAACTGTGAGCTCCAAGACTGCAGTCACAACTGTTAGCTCCAAGACTGCAGTCACAACTGTGAGCTCCAAGACTGCAGTCACAACTGTGAGCTCCAAGACTACAGTCACAACTGTGAGCTCCAAGACTACAGTCACAACTGTGAACTCTTAAACTGCAGTCACAACTGTGAGCTCCAAGACTACAGTCACAACTGTGAACTCCAAGACTACAGTCACAACTGTGAACTCTAAAACTGCAGTCACAACTGTGAACTCCAAGACTACAGTCACAACTGTGAGCTCCAAGACTACAGTCACAACTGTGAGCTCCAAGACTACAGTCACAACTGTGAACTCTAAAACTGCAGTCACAACTGTGAGCTCCAAGACTACAGTCACAACTGTGAGCTCCAAGACTGCAGTCACAACTGTGAGCTCCAAGACTGCAGTCACAACTGTGAGCTCCAAGACTACAGTCACAACTGTGAGCTCAAATACTGCAGTCACAACTGTGAGCTCCAAGACTACAGACACAACTGTGAGCTCCAAGACTGCAGTCACAACTGTGAGCTCCAAGACTGCAGTCACAACTGTAAGCTCCAAGACTGCAGTTATTACTATGAGATCTTCTTCACATTTCCTAGCTAGCTGTAAACTCAAGCACCAAGTCCTGGTTATTCATGCGCTTCTAGACACTGGTCTTTTTGCAGGTCTCGAGTGCTGTGTGAACATCTATTTTACAGATCTGACTTATTTGAGTGTATACTGTTGTTTCCCTGCCTATATTCCTTGATTAAATCAAGGACCAGAGTATCATGTGTCGGCTCTGCAATTATGGAAGCCTCCTTAGATGGCTATGAATGCCTATGCCTTCCCTTGAGGGCTGACCTGTCTACACGCAGTTGCCTTGGATGGGTTCTCAAAGTCTGCCATTGGTAGCACAGTGTTGGTATGAATATGCTGTTTATAATCTGTTTTTGGTGCTCAGATTTAGGTTTGCGTGTCTTAACAATGGTGTTAGTTGGTATATAAGTGCAATGAAACGTTGACCTTATGTTTCTATTTCCTGATCTTTTCTCCTGTACTCCGAGAATATACTTTGTAGATATTTATAAATTCTCTAACTTGCTTCAGACAAGTACCATTCAACCTGATTTGTAGCGGACTAGGACTGGGGTGTCTGTGGATTACCTACCTCCCCGGGCAGCAGCTAGAAATGCCCTGTACCAGTTCTAAAGGAAATATGGGTTGTGTTTCTGCCTTCCCCTTTAACAGGTAGCTAAGGTGGGGCTCACAGTGTGCTCATTCCCCGCCACCAGATTTCCTGCAGGTTTCGCTGAGCTCTTCATGGCTCTAAGCATGGCCTAAGCATGAGTAGTTGGGGCAACTGGATCGTCACGTCCTGAGTCCCTGTGCCTTCACGATAGTTTCCGGTATTCAGGGGGGTTAGCATACTTGTTTCCATTCCTAAGACTGTTCAGCACACATCTGGCTCCTTCCCTCCCACAGGGGGCAGTACGGTGTGGTGCACCGGGTTTATTATCGAGGTTTGCTCCTCTAGATCCATTGTGTTTTGCCTGGGGATTCGCACCCCCAGTTACCAAGACTACCTCGGGGAGGCTGTGACTCTTCGCCACGCACAATGGTCTTGAGGTAAGAGAGGTTTTGCTAGGTCAAGAGGCTGACACCACAATGGACGCTCCTTTCGTGAACAGATATTCACTAGACCTAGGGTGAAGTAAGGGGGGGAACCCACTACCCACAACACCAACACTTCTTACCCCCTGCCTCTAGAGGCTCAGTCCCAGCCGACTAGGAATATAGTGTACAACATTTTTAGAAACCAAGACTGTGATGTAACATTAGTAAAAATTAAAAGATTCTAGTGAAACTGTGTACAACGTTTGTAAAACTTCAATATTGTGACAAGGCAACAACGAAAAACTAGATCCATGACTGCAACATAACATAGATAATGTGTTAATTCAAGACTGTTTAAGAGTGTGCTTCAGTAGTTTTTAAAGGGGGAAAAAAAGGATATTAATGAAGGGTGCTTCAGTAGTTTTTAAGGGGAAAAAAGGGATATTAATGAAGGGTGCTTCAGTAGTCTTTAAGGGGGGAAAAAGGAAATTAATGAAGGGTGCTTCAGTAGTTTTTAAGGGGGGGGGGGGGAAGGATATTAATGAAAGGTGCTTCAGTAGTTTTTAAGGGGAAAAAAGGATAGTAATGAAGGGTGCTTCAGCAGTTTTTAAGGGGCGGAAAAAAGATATCAATGAAGGAACATTACAGTGAAGAGACAATGGTTAAGAACAATGGGTCAATGGAGGATAAGAGATCAAAGAGCGATGAGGATCAAGAGAATGGATGAAGGGGAAGACATGAGACAAAACAATGAAAGAGCAGAACTGGATATTTAAAAAAAAAAAAAAAAAAAAGCAGGGTAGTGATGAAAGAATAAAGATGTGAAAACTCTCCCAGAACAGTCCCAGTGTGGATTCAGGACTCCATTTTGGTGATGGTGGGACAGAGAGCAGACTCACTGCTCCTAAACAAGCATGTCTTAAAAGGCAACTAATTAGCAGTTTGCATAAATCTAATTTGTTGAGCAAAAAAGCTCAGATATGGCAGCCTAACTGTAAGCCACAATACAATGTGACAGCCCCCCTTTTAAGGTTAAATGAAGAAAAAGAAGAGGAGGAGGAAGAAAAAGAAAGTGGGATGCAAGAAAGGACAGTTAAGATAAAAGAGAACAGAGTGAAGTCTTTAAAAAGAAATGTAAAAATTCTGCTACAGAAGATGTTCTGGTGAAACTTACCTAAAAAAGATAAGAGCATTCTGCAAGAAAACTGCAATCCCAGGCCAGTCCGGGTTTACATCTGGAGAAAACAAAATGTATAGTTATTTTGAGTCATTGCCATTATCACTGTAACAACAAGTTACCCCCGATGTAAGTTATGGGGCCCCACTGTGGGGGGGGGGGGGGGGGGGGGGACAGACCCACTGGAATTTCCACTAGGGTTTACAGCCAATGAATGCAAACATCAAACAACTAGTGTGTTAAATCACCTGTAAAATAACAATTTTAAACTATGCAATTACCTTACTATTACAATAAGTAGGTCAAATTACAATTGATAATAATATAAAACATACCACCCCCCCCCCCCCCCCCCCCACACACACACACACACACACAAAGCATGCATGGAAAAAATATTAATTTCTTGAAATTTAATTTGATTTAGATATCATGCAAAGACAAATCGGTAAATTAGTTTTAAATTAGTCTTAGCTATTTCAGTACCAAGAGCTTATTCACAAATTTTCATTTTTCACGCATTAAAAAAAAAAAAAAAGCTACATCAAAAAGACAATAAATACACTAGAAGCTACAACTGGAACAGCCAGGATCTGTAGTATGTGCACTGACCACAAATAAAAACAGTCCATTAAATATCACACACCAGTTGGTGGTAAAGGAGTTAAAATTTATAAACCAGGCAAGAGGATAGGGGGAGGAAGAAGGGGGGGGGGGGGGGGGGGTACTGTCTGAATTAATAATCTTTCTATGCCTGGGCCTCTGTCCCATGACGATCCCAAATTTTGGCTCCTGAGTAAACTTTGTTTACTTGACTGAAAAGCAGCCAGAAAGGAAAGTGGTCACTACATTTTATTATTAGGTGTAATATGGCTAGGTGACAGTAACATAAAGGTTTATTATGGCTAGGTGACAGTAACATAAAGGTGTATTATGGCTAGGTGACAGTAACATAAAGGTGTATTATGGCTAGGTGACAGTAACATAAAGGTGTATTATGGCTAGGTGACAGTAACATAAAGGTTTATTATGGCTAGGTGACAGTAACATAAAGGTTTATTATGGCTAGGTGACAGTAACATAAAGGTTTATTATGGCTAGGTGACAGTAACATAAAGGCTTTTATGGCTAGGTGACAGTAACATAAAGGTTTATTATGGCTAGGTGACAGTAACATAAAGGTTAGGTGACAGTAACATAAAGGTTTATTAAGGCTAGGTGACAGTAACATAAAGGTTTATTAAGGCTAGGTGACAGTAACATAAAAGTTTATTATGGCTAGGTGACAGTAACATAAAGGCTTATTATGGCTAGGTGACAGTAACATAAAAGGGTATTATGGCTAGGTGACAGTAACATAAAGGTGTATTATGGCTAGGTGACAGTAACATAAAGGTTTATTATGGCTAGGTGACAGTAACATAAAGGCTTATTATGGCTAGGTGACAGTAACATAAAGGTTTATTAAGGCTAGGTGACAGTAACATAAAGGTTTATTAAGGCTAGGTGACAGTAACATAAAGGTTTATTATGGCTAGGTGACAGTAACATAAAGGCTTATTATGGCTAGGTGACAGTAACATAAAAGGGTATTATGGCTAGGTGACAGTAACATAAAGGTTTATTAAGGCTAGGTGACAGTAACATAAAGGTTTATTATGGCTAGGTGACAGTAACATAAAGGCTTATTATGGCTAGGTGACAGTAACATAAAAGGGTATTATGGCTAGGTGACAGTAACATAAAAGGGTATAATGGCTAGGTGACAGTAACATAAAGGTGATTTATGGCTAGGTGACAGTAACATAAAGGTGTATTATGGCTAGGTGACAGTAACATAAAGGTTTATTAAGGCTAGGGGACAGTAACATAAAGGTCTTACTGTTTACTTTCTCTTGACAGCATGGTTTATAAGATTAACCCAATTATTGCCTTATAAAACAAGATAAGGAGAATCAGGGCAGCAGCTGCAGTGTAGCAGCTAGACGTGTGCAAAGAATCTGAAGGTCGTGGGTTCAAAACCAAATAAAGCCTTACTTTTTTCTTTAAAAAGGAACTTGGCTTCCAGGCCGATCCAGCCCAAAATGGGCACTAGGTAAAATCCTGAAAAGTAAAGGCAACCACTGTGATGTTGACTACATCACCAGCTGATCTATAAAATATAGATCTGGCACTACATGACCAATATGCCTGAAGTCACGGAAAAGGAGAATCAAATATACTTACTGCCAACGACATAGAAACCAAACAGAATCCAACTTGCCGCAATCAAAGAGCCAAAAGCCAATAAGAATCCAATGAACATCCAAATGCGTGCACCTAAAGTTTGAAAGCAAGTGTAAAATGTATAAATAAGTGAGTGTTCTTTTTGGAATGTCTGAAGCCAGATCGTCAGATGTCTGACCAATAGTTAGTGGTTAATAGTAAACCACAACACTCACAGATAATCCATCAGTGCTCTGTATTCCTCAGCAGTGCTGCAAGATGAAATGTTGACTTTTCTAGTTAAACTAGTGGGGAAAACATTTTTTTTTGGGGTGTTAATTCCTGAATTTTTTTTAAATCTTCACTGTATTTCCAGTTCCCACCATGACATTTTTGACAACAACACATTCACATGCCTGATGTCTTGCACTCACCCCAGCAAGACCCAAACAGTATATCTCCGTAAATCCTTTGTATATCCATGTAAAGCTCAAGAATATCCTATGTAAAGTCCATGCACATCCCATCAAGAAAACACTGCCTACAGTAAGTAAAGACCCTTTTTACACCAGATGTACATCAAGCACATGATTGTACGATTAATTGCTTTGTCTCCTCCAGACTGTTGCCAGAAGGTTTACCACCTTAATATTTAAGACACAAATCTCAGTCTAGATGGCAGACCAACAGGGAAGATCCCAGACAGCTTGTTTATCTAACCTTCACAGAAATTACAGTTAGGACACCCATGACGGCTACACCGGCCCAGTGCAACCTGCAGTCCTGTGCGGGTCAGGGATCAATTTTTAAAAACAGCATATGACGCTAGACTTATATTTTCCTAGAGCGATGGGCATTCAGTGGGTGATGTGGTAGACTGTAGGGCATCATGTGATAGCAATTTTTTAAAGATGACCAAAACAGGCCTAGCCAGGATGTATGTGCTAACATATGACTGGGTGACACCTACAGTATTCTTCCTTGGCGAATGGGAAAATCAAGTACCAGTGATGCTTATCCAGCTGGTTTCTGGACCTAGAGAGGAGAAAACAATCCAACATAGTCTCAGCGAGACAGCATTTTCCCCGCGTGGGTTCCTAGGCCCCATTGGGGGGGGGGGGGGGGGGGGGGTCAAAGAATAGTCCCACTCTCAACTAATCAGTGGTCTTTCCTTCAAAGTTGAAGTATATGTGCCTGAGAGATGAGATATCAACAGCCTGCATACAAATAAGCCACACATGTGAAATGGATGTGCATGCAAAACTCAAGCTTCGGAACAAGACTTTAAGACCAGGAATGGACGAACAACCAGAGCTTTCCAATAGAGTTTACAGCTCGTGAATGCAAAGAAGCAAAAGAAAAGCCTTAAATCTACCTGATTCTGATAGATGTAAGTGCTTTTCAGGGCTTAGATGCCAGTGAATTAAATTTAAAATTTTAAAAATTCATAGCAACCCGGAAGATTCACACTAACTAACCAACCAACCATGCACAATGAATTCTTACTGCCTTATTGAAGAAAACTGTCACTGAATGGAATTCTGTGTTTCTGCCTGTCCTAAATTGTCTGAGTGGATTTATTTATATCTGTTATCTGAGTTGATGTGCCTTAGTCTGTTTTAGCAACCCCATATTTGTGCACATATCAGTTTAAAACAAAAAAGCTGCTTGTGCTACAGTGTATGTGTATATCAGTGTGTGTATGTCTATATGTATTAGACCACAAGTACATGTGTAAATATTTTTCTTTACTCATCTGAATGATGAAATGTGCCCGCTGGTAGAAATGGAAACCAAAATGTACATAATCCACAACCGACCTGTTCGTCCCATGCACCCTGTGGTATATGCATCTCCTCGTATCTGCCCATTGGATACAGAATTTACCCTGTAACAAAAAATAAAAAATACCAAAGACATGGATTATAACAGGCATATGAACATTTGGCAAGCAATCTGAGTCAAATATCAACTTTGATATGTTTCTTCTTATCAGGGGCTGTAAAGGTGCAGGTTGAGTCTCTTACCAAAAGCATTCTGGATGTTGTTGGTGTACTCTCTCTCTCTCTCTCACACACACACACACACATATATATACATAAATAAACGGACAAGCAAACATTCACAGCACAAGCACAGGGGTCTCCATGGCGAAGTGGTGAAGCCATTTGCCTCACATTCTGAAGGTTGTAGGTTCACTCCACAGCTGCACCCTTCAGTTCACATGTGCAATTTTTATGGAGCTACAAAGTTTGTGCTATGGCTGTACTCTTGGCAGGTGGCTAGCTGTTCTGCTAAGAGAGACCGAGCCATATGGAATAAAACCCGGTGCAATGAAGTCGATCCTCTTAACTTTAATCACTGTAATTGGAAGTTTTGGTAATCCTCTGAACGCACTCATAAATTCATAACATAATCGCATATAATTATGTTTTAGAAAGGCAGTTTAGGGTTAGGGTTAGGTTAACTCTAACCGTAACCCAGGGACAGATGTAAACTTGATGTGACCCTAAGCTATATACAGCCCTGAGGCACCAACTGCTTTAAATGACACCAGCTAATCTCAGAAAACTTTAAAATACATAGGTCTTTTAAAATACATTTGACAAAAAATATTTTTTTGAATTTTTATAAACAGAAATAAAGAATGTGTCTGCAAAATGTATTACATAACTTTCTTATGGGCTCTTTTAAAAGAAAATTAATCTGTGAACAAAAAATTTGTCGAGGTCCCTGCAGATTGTGAGGCCCTAATCTGTAGCCGACCTCTACTACGATATAAAGATGTGTGCAAGCGGGACATGAATGATACAGGTACTGAGGTGGACTCATAGGAACAAAATGCCATGGACTGTGTTGTGTGGAAAGGGCATATCAGGAAGGGAATGAGACTGAAGGAAGAAATGATTGCAGAAAGGATGAGAGCTGAGCGTCTGAAAAGAAATGGATTAAACACAAATGTTGACAATAATGATCCTGAAATCCTATGATATCATTGTGGAAGACTTTTTTTTTGACACGGGCGGGTCTTGCTAGTCATACTCGTCATCACCATGAGCTGTGAGTCTCATGCCTCCTCATAGCGCAATATAACACTATCGTCTGGAAAGATGGAAAGGTGCCAATGATGATGATGAATCTGTAGCTTAGTTAGCTTATGTCTATATCTAGCTAGCACTGCTCTAGCTCTAACAATTAGATGCCTAACCCTAACGATCAGCCTAACCCTAACCATCAGATGCCTAGCCATAACCATCAGATGCCTAGCCCTAACCATCAGATGCCTAACCCTAACTATCAGATGCCTAACCCTAACCGTCAGATGCCTAACCCTAACCATCAGATGCCTAACCCTAACTATCAGATGCCTAACCCTAACTATCAGATGCTAACCCTAACCATCAGATGCTAACCATAACCATCAGATGCCTAACCCTAACTATCAGATGCCTAACCCTAACCATCAGCCTAACACTAACTATCAGATGCCTAACCCTAACTATCAAATGCCTAACTCTAACCATCAGATGCCTAACCCTAACCATTAGATGCCTAGCCCTAACCATCAGATGCCTAGCCCTAACCATCAGATGACTAGCCCTAACCATCAGATGCCTAACCCCCAATGATCAGATGCCTAGCCCTAACTATCAGATGCCTAACCCCTAACAATCAGATGCCTAACTCCCAATGATCAGATGCCTAACCCTAACCATCAGGTGAGTCAGCACACCGGAATAAAGGCATCGAACATTATTTGCAATATGAACAGGCATATGTGGTCTGCCGGCCATAGTTTCCGTATTATTATTATTATGACAAGGAATCAGTCTACATGACGACTCCAGTCATTTAGAAGCGTAAACAGTGACATAACAAACTGACTGCATGTTTTAGATGTTATTTGAATCTGGGATCACAGTTCAGAGGATGGTTGAAGTCTTTGCCCCATCCCATGACTACAGGATTTGAACTTGGCACTTAACATGACTGAAACAAATATCACACTTCCTAGCCACTCTAAACCCTATATAATAAATACATCAAGTAAAATAAAAGACATATTTTTCATATTATGATGTGCACTGGGTGTATGGTGCGATCGCCGTACACTTGAACAGCACTAAAAGGGTGATATGATCAAAAGCATGCTGGCTCCATTTCATTTCCTAGAACATTTCCTGTGTTAACCTAGGAGCCCAGGTTGGATTTCCAGCTTGAAATGGATATGTACACTTGAACACTAAACAGCAGGCAAGAGTGCTACTATTCGCTGGCACCATGCCAAGCCACCTAAGTGCAATGTAAGCAATTTCCACCTAAGTGCAATGTGAGCAATTTTCACCTAAGTGCAATGTAAGCAATTTTCACCTTAGTGCAATGTTAACATTCTCACCAAATTCCAATGTGAGGTATTTTCACCTAAGTGCAATGTAAACATTTTTCACGAAATTGCAATGTGAGCTATTTTTACCTAAGTGTAATGTAAGCAGTTTTCACTTAAGTGCACTGCAAACAATTTTCACCTATGTGCAATGTAAGCAGCTTTCACTTAAGTGCAAAGCAAACAATTTTCACCTAAGTGCAATATAAAGCAGTTTTCACCTAAGTGCAATGTAAGCAATTTTCACCTAAGCGCAAGTTTAGAAATTTGCAACTAAGCGCAATGTTTTTTGTTTGACAGTTTTCACCTCTAAGTGCGCTTTTGGGGACAATTTTCACCCAACTGTAATTCGGACAATTTTCACCTAAGTGCAATTCTGACAATTTTCACCTAAGTGCATTTTCAAGGCTGTTATTTGTCACTTTATAGATAGCCAAAAGCACATATGTGAAATCCTACTCTAAATAGCACAGACAGATATTCAATTTTCAAAAGCGACTTTGCTGAAACACGTATTCAGCAGTCAGGTGAATTTGTTGCAGTTTATTAGTTTCATCAATGCATTCATAGTGGGGATAAATACAATATTTTTCTATGTATAAAACAGTATGTTTTGCCAATGATAAAATGTTTTTCTTAAAGTTCAAAACGGGGAGGTCGTCTTACAGATGAAATGTGATTTCAATATTTATTTCTTAATTTTGGGCTAAAACGTTTTGGGTCATCTCATACACACAAAAATAAGGTATAGGCTAACCTTAGGACAGCTAGCAAAAGCTGTAGCTTTCAATGCTGGAATTATGCCATCCCTCAATTTTAGCTTCAAAAAGAAAAAAAAAAATACAAACAAAGAAGGAATGTGGACATACATGAAAAATGCCACAGTAGCTATGACTCCTGGTGTTTGGAAAGCATGATTAAATTGGCCACTGTCTGGGTACAAGGCTGCAGCATCAATCACAAACCACCATCCTGTAAAAAACTGCAATAAGGAAAACATGGTTATCAACCCAAACAGGAACTTCTCATGACTGCTGAGTTCTTCTTCTTCGATCTTTTTGTCATAAAACTTATGTCTTTATGAAAGCTATTTTGCAGTCCATATCTTCTCATGTATTAAAGAGCTTTGTCTTCGTTGAGGTTGGAACAGACCAGATTGCGTCTCTGGTGTCAGCATACAGTTGATTGTGTTGGAGTACATACTCAGCATTTTTAGGTTCCATGCTGCAAGGACATGTCTCCGTGTTACCTACACCGAAAAAGTTACTGTTTGACTGATCACCTTTATTGCTGCAATCATCTACTTTGGATCATGCTAGAAGGATAGCACAATGTGACTCTAATTTCAAATTCAGCAGCACTGTCACTACTGTCTGTATGTGCTACTTTTTAAAGCGGTGTAAACAATGGGTTATAAGCCTGAGGATTTAAGGCCACAAGTAGTAATGTACTGATCAGAAACTTGAGAATTGAAATAATAATTAAGAAATATTTCTTAACTCTTTAAGACCAAGGTGATTTCAAGGTAGATGTTAAATGGCTACAATAATCATTTCCCCCCCCCCCCCAACCAACCAAAACAAAAAAGTCATGAGTTATATTATCAAAAGGGCACCATATATTACGTATTATATGAAAATATCTAGCCAGAGTTACATACTATGTTCAGACCAAATGTATAAGAGCTAACATAACGTGTGTTGCGTGATATAAACGGGCTATAGCTGATCACACATAGTGCATTTATTCAGACTTAAGATGTTAACTGGTGTCAGCACAGAGCAGAAGGAATAAAATAGTTATGACAGAATTCCTTACGTGTAGCTTAAGGAAAAAAGTTAAATGCCAGAATATCAATAGGTGAGTAGTGGTACAGGAAAAGACACATATTGTGAAAAGCTGATAACAGTAAAGCAATAAAATTTGAAACTTACCAGTTTCGAAAGTGGATTCCCGAGGGCCTATTTTGGGAACAAAGAATGGACTCACTGCCCCTGGCAAGCATGTTGTAAAAGGCGGCTAATTAGGTGTGTTTCCTTAGAAGTCATAGTGCATCTGCCTGAGAGGCAAGGGACCAACACCCTGCTGACCAATAAGACAGATCTATAAAACAGATGTGTATGCTAAACTCAAATTCTGGAACATGAATGCAAGTCAAGAAGTGGACTAACAACCAGAGCTTTCTGCTGAAGTTCATTGCCGGTAAATAGGAAGAAGAAAGAGAAACTGACCAGTAACTCAGACTGTGATAAAATAACACTTACCAGTACACCTGAGATAATGGACACAATAAGGTTGCGCTTGTCTCCCAGTTCAATGCAGTCACATCTAGGCCACTGACAGTTGTCTAGAAATCCTGACATTGCAAAACTGTTTCCAGTTTACCAATCTGAAATAAAACTGCTTGCCGTTATTTCTTCAATATCACTGTTACAGACAAATAATGGCGAAAAAGGCAAAATGTGAATTTGTTAAATGTGATCGTTAACATAAATATTACTGCTTAAGTATAACCTGATTTGCTGGCAACTGTCAGACACATTTAGCACAAGAAGAAGAGGTTCCAAAGTTTAAAGTAAGATTGAAACCTGTAGATTCCTTCCAATGACAAGCTGGTGACTTTTGCTGTAGAAGTAGAACTACAGTGCCATTTTGTTGTTGTTGTTGATCTTTAACATACCTGTTGCTGTGTAAGTATGACTAGACTTGTTGAAATCACCTACAGACACTTTCATCATCATCAATCAGCATGCCCTTTACAGAACACCACTCTCTTCATTGCACGCCTAGGAGTGTCTCTTTCTCTAGAAAATTCTCTAGATCTGTGTGCTTTCACAGCCAATGCTTTTTCAATGTCCTGTATCCACCTTCGAGCCTCATTTTCTGTAAATTGCACCCTCGATTACCATTCTCTCTAGACCACCATGGCATATCACATGACAAGACACTTTCAACAGAAGAAAAGCAAATCTCAGATAACAGCCAAAACACACCCTGTGATCATTTACTTTTAAATGTTTTTTTTGGGGAGGGGGGGGGGGGGATTAAAAAAAATAATGTCTGGACTTATTGATTTGATTTTCAACATACATATTTGTCTTAGGTATAACTAGACTTGCTGAAACCTGTCACAAGAGAAACAAGAAGTCTCAAAAGATTAAAAGTGAAACTGGAACCAAACACTGTGTTCATTATGTTTTTGTTTACATTTTCAGATTTAGGAAAAAAATGGACCAATATAAAAATATAGTGTTTGAATCTGATGATTTCATCTTTGCCATACATGTTTTTGTCTAACTAGACTTGCTGGAACCCATGATATCCCATTTAACCTCAAGAAAAATAAATCTGAGAGTTTAATAAAGTCTGGTAATCTGGTAATCTTAGTTTCAGCTTCATAGCAAACGGGTCACCCAATAGTTGCTCCACTCCTGTGCCAATGAAAAACACACAGAATGTTTATCAGTTTATCTCGGTCTCTTGTGGAAAGATTGACAGACCACTGTCTCAGCATATGCACTAGCATACACATGCATTAAAAGCATGCAGTAGCCATCTGAAGTGCTAACACAAAACAGTCCGAGATTAGAAATGCAGGTCATCATCGATGAAAGCACTAGTGACTAGCAGATGTCACCAACAGATCAGCAGTTGCACACACGATCAATTTTAATCACATAATGGCACCAATATTGCGACAACCAGCATTGCGCCTTTTTTTGAATCTACAATTTACCCACCCCAAAAAAACACTCAAAATGAAATCCACAGCTCATAGTATCACGCCATGCACCCAACTCAGAAGCTGGGCAACGAAACTTTATTCTTCCAGTCTACAAATGGAGCAAAAATGTAACGGCCACCATCTGGCAGAAGCAAAAACATTTGCAAAGGCTCAAAACAGTTGCCGTGCCTAGCGTCCATTTTGACCTGAAGCATTATGTGAGGGTTAATAAACGGTCACCCCAGTAGTACCCTCACCATTAGCCTATTAGTTTAATAAAGTAAATATGGAAGCCGAACAGTTTAGCAGAGTAGATTAGAACAGTCCACAGACATGCTGAAAGTTGTTGACTATCAATACTTTTCTATAATTACTATCATTATGATGACTTCTTTGGAATTACAGTTCTTCTTCTTCTTCTGCCTTTCTATCCCCCAATGGAGCATAGGCCCTCAACTAACTCACTCAAAGCCGTTCTATCCTTCGCTATTGCATGGAGCTCTACCCATGTCCTTCCAATCTTTCTAACCTCATTCTCCAGCTCTCTTCTCCATGTGTTTTTTGGCCTTCCTTTATTCCTATGCCCCCGTGGGTTCCAATGCAAAGACATTCTAGTTATGCTGTTCTCCTGTTTTCTCAGTGTGTGCCCTATCCAACGCCAGCGTCTTTTCCTCACCTCCTGATCCACTGGAGCCTGTTTAGTTCTCTCCCAAAGTTCTACATTAGTTATTCTATCATACCATTTTATTCCCTCTATTCTGCGCAGGCACCAGTTAATGAATGTCTGTAATTTATTTGTAATTGCCTTGGTTGTTCTCCATGTTTCCGCCCCCATACAATAGTACTGATTTGACATTAGAATTAAAAATTTTTAGTTTAGTATTTCTTTTAACTTCTTTTGACCTCCACAAATTCCCTAGTGCTATGAAAGCCCCTCTTGCCTTTTGTATTCTTATTTTAATATCTCTATCAGTTCCTCCATCTTTATCTACATTACTGCCTAAATAGGTGTACGAATCCACGTCTTGGAGTGGGGTGCCATTAAGAGAAACCACATTACTATTTGCCTGATTTATTCTCATTATCTTTGTCTTTCCTTTACGGATTTTCAGACCAAGCTGCTGTGATCTCGCATTAAGTATATTTAATTTATCGTGCATCTGATTCCGTACATGGGACAGAAGAGCAATATCATCAGCGAAGTCCAGATCATCAAGCTGTTTTGTAGGGGTCCACTGAATTCCATTCTTGGTGTTAGCAGTTACTGTTTTCATAGTCCAGTCTAAAGCCAGTAAAAATAAGAGAGGCGACAAAAGACATCCCTGTCGCACACCTGTTTTTATTTCAAATGCATCTGTTAGCTTTCCCTCATGAAGAACTCGACATTTCATGTCTTTATTTGTTGCCTTTACTAAGTTGATAATTTTCTGTGGGATACCATAGTGCCCCATCAATTTCCAGAGAGATTAACTATCAATGCTGTCAAATGCTTTTTGAAAGTCTATAAATCCTATGTAAAGTGGTGAGTTCAGTTCAATGCTTTGCTCTATCTTCCTTGAGAAGATTTATAGCTTTTCTAATTTCCTCTTTGGATGGTATCTCACAGTTGATATCCAGTTCCATTTCTAAAGGCTGGATATCTGGGGGAACCTCTGGGCCTGGTCTATTTAGAAGCATTTCAAAATATTCAACCCATCTGTCCATTTGATCTTTAGTATTAGTAAGTACCTTTCCTTGACTATTTTTGATTGATCCAGTTGGCTGACTATATTTACCTACTAATTTTCTTGTGTTACTGTAAAGTTCTCTGAGGTTTCCTTTTGCTGCTGCTCTCCGCTTCTTGTACTAGATCATTTAGATATTTCACTTTATATGCCTCCTAACTTCCTTGTTGGCTTCTGTGTATTTCTCCTGAGCTCTAGCTTTAGCAGCTCTAGTTTTGATCAGAGTATTTGCTATTGTTTAATTCTGCCTTTTTACTTTGGAATTACAGTTAGTATAGTATAACTGGAAGCTGGGCTAACCTCCAAATAACGGGCACAAAAGATGGCTGCTGCAAAAACATACAGAGCCTCAGTCGCTCACGCGGCATGGGTCTACATCTTATCTCCATAAAAACCTACATATCTCAGCTCAGAAATGACATACAAGCCTAAATGAGGTACAGTTGGAAAGAGATTGTTTACAGCTAACTGTGCTGGTTTTATTGGTGTAGATGGCATTTTGAAAATTTGACTAAAGTACCTAGGAACACTCTGGGCGGTGGGGTTATAGTCCCCAGAAGTGCGCACATTGACATGTGACTGAGGCCCTGTTAGGGTATATTTTCTGCCTTGATAATTTACGACTGTTATTCGGAGGATAGCCAAAACAAAAATTATAGCAGAAGGCATGTTACCACGAAGGAGGGGCAGGGATCGAGTAACACGATGCGCACAGGATATAAGTGACTCATTGAGTATGAAAGAGCATGAGGCAGGAGAGCTGGCGAGAGACCCGTGATGAGAGCGACGTTCTGCAAAGGACCTGCCACAAGATGATGATGATGATAGCATATAACTATAATTTAACGTCTGACATCGTTGACTTTAACATACCTATAATTATGTAAGTATGACCAGATAGGCTGGAAGCTGCGACAAACACTTTCAACACAAGAAAATGAAGTAATGTGAAGTATGTAAGCTTAATTATTAATCAAATAAGATTGGAACCAGATTGAGCTTCCTTCCAACAACAAGTTGACTTCTGCTGTGGAAACTAGAAGAGTTGTCTGCCTACGGCGGTGACGTCACGATCTCACCAAAAACTGGGATCGCCGAGCCGGCGGCCCTAGTTACCCATGATGCCTCCAGCGCATTCTTTAGCAACACAATGGCGGCCACCACACAACCAGACTACGACAAGCCCGGAGACAAGGGAGAAGAGAGAGTCAAAGTCATTTGTCTCGGCGACAGCGCCGTAGGCAAATCTAAGTGGGTACCAGCAATACGTCCTATCAATAATACAAATTGGATTGTTAATTTAGGAATGCCTCTGTATTATTATATTATTAATGTGTATTGTGACAGTATTGCTTAATTGCTTCTCTTGTGTCCATCAGTTTGGTTTGGTTTTGCCGCTCTCCTCCGAACTTCAACCCTCAGCAAAAGACAGCAAAACCCCAAAAAATGTCAGTGGAGGGGGTTAAGTGTTGTGCAATGAGCCTGTACCCAATGATGGTCAGCTTCTTAATAAATCAATCAATTGATTAGGTGCCGTCTCCACATTGAAGGTTGGCTGTAAATTGTAATGGATCTCCAACAAGCCCTGTCTCTTGCCCTTGATGTACACTCACTCATACTGCTGTTCGTCCATCTCTTGATGTTATCCTCCCACTTGTAACGCTGTCTGCCTTTTGCTCACCTACCTTGAACCTTTCCCTCTAGGATGATCTTTACAATACTGTTATGTCTTTTAACTCTTTCAGTCCCAGGGGGTTTAGCATCACAGGCCCAAGGGGTAGTCAAGAGAGACGTAAAATTGACGCATGTTGCGTTCATTGGTCTTCGAGGTAGGAATCTATGAACGTATGATGCGTTCCTTGGGACTCAAAGAGTTAATGTGGCCAAAATATTTCACTTGTCTCTTTTTTTATTTCACCTAGCAACTCTCTTTTTATTCCCAATTTCCTCATTACCTCTGTATTTGATAGCTTTTGTTTCCATGAAATACGACCTAATCTTCTGTTTATCCACATCTCCAAAGAATTGATACGATTTTCCAGTTGTTTGTTCATTGTCCATGTCTCTGTGCCATACAGTAAGGTTGAGAATACATAACATTTGACAATTCTCATTTTTAATGTATTGCTTATTTTCTCTTGATGTCAGTAACTTTTGCATGTTGTTGAAAATGTTTTTGGCCATCCCTATTCTTTTCTTGACTTCTGTTTCACTTCTGCCGTCACATGTTATTACTTGTCCAAGATATAAGAAATTTTTAACTTGTTCCAATTTCACCCCGTTCACTGTGATATTCATTGTTAGCTGATTATTGTCTTTGCTAAATATCATGGTTTTTGTCTTTTTCAAATTTATATCTAATCCAAATTCTGCACTCCTTCTGTTTACTTGCTCCACTAGGCCTTGCAACTCCTGCTCACTCTCTGCTAGCAACACTGTGTCGTCCGCGTATCTCAGATTGTTTATTATTTTACCATTGATGTTCAGTCCTGGTAATTCTACAATTTCTTTAAAAATTATTTCTGTACATAAGTTGAAAAGGCTAGGCGACAGCACACATCCTTGTTTTACTCCTCTCTTGATCTCTATCTGGGGTGAGCAGATGTTGTCATGTCTTACTGTTGCTTCTTGCTCCCAGTATAAGTTTCTAATAAGTCTGATATCCTTTCCATCTAGTCCTATGTTTTGAAGAGCTGCAATTAGTTGTTCATGTTGCACTCTGTCGAAAGCTTTTTTGTAATCTATAAAACGTGCATAAATATTTTTCTGAACTTCTATATATTTTTCAGTCAGCATCTTAAGACAAATTATGGCCTCTCGAGTACCACTGTTTTTACGAAATCCGAATTGCTCTTCAGAAACTTCTTTCTCTATTTTATCTTGAATTCTTGCTTGTATTATCTTCAAGAGTAACTTAGTTACGTGACTCATTAGGCAAATAGTTCTGTAATCTTCACAATCAACAGCTTTTGATTTCTTGGGTAGTGTGATAAAAACAGATGTTTTCATGTCCCTGGGAATGTACCCATTATAAATGTCATTGCATATTTCTGTGATAGTATCAATTCCAAAAGTAGATAATGATTTTAACATTTCTGCAGTTATGTTGTCTGGACCTGCAGCTTTTCCCTGCTTCATCTGTTTAATGGCTTTCTCTACTTCAGACTTTAATATGTTTGGTCCCTCTTGAATATTATGGATTGGCGGTTTGTCACCTCTGTTGTCCCAAAACAGGTCTCAATAAAGCACAATCCCAAAAGATTTTATTTTTCAATAATAAAAAAGAGCCACTAAAAATTGTTTATCAGCATTCAAAAACATGAGCAGTGATAATACAGTTATTTAAATGACTTTAAAAAATAAATAGTCTTCGGTGGAAGTCTAGAAGTATTTTGTATAGAGATGTGTCCCAGCGAACTTGCCTCCTCTGTGTTGATTTCTGTGTTGGCCATTTCAACATACTTAGGACTAGTCCTTATATCTTGAGACCAATCCACTTAGATCATGCACCCAGTAGTAAAAGAGCTTAGTCAATTCCCCAAACCAAATTTCAACTATGAAATCATCTGCTAAATAAAGTTGCCGATATTTCATCAGTGGTGTGAAGATTTTGATCACAGATGGGGGGGGGGGGGGGGGGGGGGGGGCTTTAGTTAATAAGGCTTTTGTAATGTGTATAAGGAGACACTCTGTATTTTTTGTATCTTCTAAAGGGAGACAGATCTGTGCTGGTTTGTAGATTTTTCATGCTAGACCTGCCACTAGGATTTCTCATTGTGTGCTTTGAATGATAGCCTTTATCGGACTAACCCGAGCTTGCAGAGATCTCATTGTGTGCTTTGAATGAATTAAGGCCTGTAAGTGTATCGGACTAAACCCAGATCTCTGTGGCTGTGTGCTTTATTGATTTTCATGCGAGAACCAAGCTGGCACATTCTCATTGTGTGCTTTGAATGATAGCCTGTATCGGACTAAACCGAGCTGGCAGAGATCTCATTGTGTGCTTTGAATGATAGCCTGTATTGGACTAAACCGAGCTGGCAGAGATCTCATTGTGTGCTTTGAATGATAGCCTGTATTGGACTAAACCGAGCTGGCAGAGATCTCATTGTGTGCTTTGAATGATAGCCTGTATTGGACTAAACCGAGCTGGCAGAGATCTCATTGTGCGCTTTGAATGATAGCCTGTATCGGACTAAACCTAGCTGGCAGAGATCTCATTATGTGCTTTGAATGATAGCCTGTATCGGACTAAACCGAGCTGGCAGAGATCTCATTATGTGCTTTGAATGATAGCCTGTATCGGACTAAACCTAGCTGGCAGAGATCTCATTGTGTGCTTTGAATGATAGCCTGTATTGGACTAAACCGAGCTGGCAGAGATCTCATTGTGTGCTTTGAATGATAGCCCATATTGGACTAAACCGAGCTGGCAGAGATCTCATTGTGTTCTTTGAATGATAGCCTGTATCGGACTAAACCTAGCTGGCAGAGATCTCATTATGTGCTTTGAATGATAGCCTGTATTGGACTAAACCGAGCTGGCAGAGATCTCATTATGTGCTTTAAATGATAGCCTGTATCGGACTAAACCTAGCTGGCAGAGATCTCATTGTGTGCTTTGAATGATAGCCTATATCGGACTAAACCTAGCTGGCAGAGATCTCATTATGTGCTTTGAATGATAGCCTGTATCGGACTAAACCGAGCTTGCAGAGATCTCATTGTGTGCTTTGAATGATAGCCTGTATCTGACTAAACCGCGCTGGCAGAGATCTCAAAGTTTGTGGCTCCCAGAGATGCAGTGTCCAGAAATCCTCTGACACTTGCCAGTCTACACCCAGTGCATGGGCGATAATGTAAATGAAAAACTCATTTGGAACATGCATGAAGGCTGCTGGCCAAGTGCCAACTAAATGAGAAACTCATGTTCAAATGTCTGTCATCCAAAAGCCCTTCTACTGTTTGGCTGCTTAGGTTTAAACATCTGTCTATGTCCTGTATGACAGCAAAGTGTTCAGAAGTTCCCAGATGAAAGATCCTTCTTTATGACACAGAAGGTTCAGACATCCACTACCAATGGCCACACTAGTTGGAATGTAATGTCCGTAGATGAAAGCCTGATGCCTGCTTCCCATAATTGCCACAGAAAGGATCCTGGGGCATCCACGTGAAAGGTGCCAGTGTCAAAGAGAGAAGTGTTAACATGTAAGATGCCCGTCCGTGTAGGGAATCAAAGTCTCGGGTCTGCAGACTGTTTCCTGATTATTCTTTAAGGACACAGCATGTACTCTGTGGAAGGCTCAGTATACGGGAGTGAGGTTAAGCAATCGTGTGCAGGATGTGATGATTCCTTGGGTGAGCCCAGTTACAGTGCACTGTGTATCTACTCTGCATTTATGGAAAACCCCTGGGATGGTGGGGAATGCCCATGCTCCACCCTGCCTCTCCTTGAGGGTTGACCAGTCTGCACCTTGCTGCCCTGGATATCATCCTTAAGGTCATATGCCTGGGGATGATAAAGTCACCACATACATGAGGCTGCAAATATCCCTTGAAGCTAACCAGGAAGGCTAACCTGAATAACAAATGCCAGAAAAAGTTGGATGTGTCGACTGAAAAGTGCAGATATTGCAGCTATGTTGTGAACAGGCACAACACACTTACATCATTCTGACAAATAATGAAGATAAAGAAAATTTATCATCACTGGATTTTTTCCCCATTGGTTCGAAGTATGTATGATATTATTAACACTATTTCCTCCTGTGTGTTCCGGGGCTAGTTGTGGGGAAAACAAGAATAGACTCACTGCCTCCCCAACAAGCATGTCATAAGAGTAATCTAACTGGGGGCTTCCTTGGAAGGGAGAGTGCATCTGCCTGAGAGGTAAGGAACCAGAATTCTGCATACAGATAAGTCAGATCTGTAAAACAGATAAGCACGCAACACTCAGGTTCTGGAACTAGACTAAAATCCAAAGATGGACGCACAAACAGAACTTTTTGCTGGAGCTTACAAACTGTAAACGTGAAGAAGAAGAAGATTAACACAGCTGGGTCTTGGTAGGATGTTTCTCCATTTTATGTTTACCATTTGGCAAGCATTACCACTAAATGGTCTACAATATTACAGGACACAGTGTACCAACTGTTTTCTAAGGCGTGGAAATGGGTGCCTTGCTAAATTGTTATTTATGTTGTAAACAACATAATGACCATCAAAGTCATGTGCTGATATGTCATGATGTCCAGTGTCATGGTTTGAGAACCTCTTGAACCGGTGTCATCTTAGTTATAATGTTTTTTTTTTTTTGATTATTCCACAGACTGGTTGAAAGATTTCTCATGGATGGATAGTATCCTTTCATTATTAATGTCATGTGTCCATATTAGTTATTTACATAAAAATTAGAAGTAATATAAAGTATCAAAGGATGCAGCCAGTGATGAATTACCAGCTCAACATTTGGATGTGAGATCCAGCATGTGCAGGGTGTGACAATTCTTGGTGTGAGCTCAGTACTAGAGCATCATATTTTGGCTGTGCATTTATGGAAGCCTCCTTGGATGACAGGTAATGCCCATGATCTGCCCCTGCCTTTCCTTGAAAGCTGACCAGGCTACATGTGTTGTTCTGGATGGGTTCTTCAAGGGCAATACCTGTAAATAAAAGGGAAAAGAGAACACCACACAAATCTGGCTACAACATGCCAAATGAAACCAACCTTGAAAGCTAACTTGATGAAAAGTATAGCTATGCTGTAAACAGCCTCAACGTAATTACGTCACTTGGAGGAAGGATGATTAAGAAGAAAAGTTCTGAGATATGATTCTGTGTATAAACCAGTTTTCTCTGAAATTTAAAGATTTTGTTGAGTGTTTCTGTTTCTCAGCAGGTCATGATGGTATAACACCAGAGATGGTCAAATATATGGGTGTCGCAGGTGAGCGCCTTCTACTGAAGGTTCTGCAGGCTGCCTGGTGTAGTAAAACTATACCAAAAGATTGGGAGATTGCCATCATTATACCTATATTTAAAAAAGGTGATAACAGACAATGTGAAAACCACAGAGGCATATCCTCCTCCAGCGTTCCTGTAAAAGTTACTCTAGAATTCTCGAGCAGAGACTTAGAAGTCTGGTAGAGCCACAGCTGGACGAGGCCCAATGTGGCTTCAGAGCAAACCGAAGTACTCAAGACCTTATCTTCACACTGAGACAGATGAGTGAAAAAGCCCTTGAAAATAAGAGTGAAATGCACCTATGTTTTTTGGATCTGGAAAAGGCATTTGACAAAGTACCCTGGAACAAGCTCTGGAGCTGCTTGGTGGGGAAAAACATTCCAGAAACCCTGATCAGTGCAAAACAGAGTTTCTACAAAAGCTGCAGAAATTATGTAAGAACAGCAGACCAAAAGTCAGAAGAATTTAAGACCACCAGCAGTGTTAGACAAGGTGATATTCTCTCACCTTACCTCTTCATTCTTATGATGGATGATGTCATCAAGACCTGTAAGGAGAAGACAAAGAAGTACTCAGTAGGGTACTGGAAGATGAGACCAGTCTGTATATCAGAGCTAGCATTTGCAGACGATGTGGCCCTGATAGCTAAATCAGAGGCACACCTTCAGTCCAACTTACTTGTCTGGAAGGAAGAGCTTGAAAAGAGAGGGATGACCATCAGTATCTCCAAAACTAAAACCATGGTGATCTTAAGAGAGGAGAAGAAACACCAGATCATGATGGGACAGTATGCATTGGAGCAGGTTAACCAGTTCAAATACCTTGGAGTTGTATTAGACCGAAACGGAGGCATTAAGACTGAGCTGGCACACGAAAAGCAGCTGCTGGGAGACTCTTCTAGGCCATAAACCGAGGGTTTCTTAGCAAAAGAGAAATTGACAAGAGGAAGAAAATGGCTGTTTACCGCTCTACCTATGTACCAGTCCTAACCTATGGGTGTGAGTCATGGGCAATGACAACAGCTCACAGAAGCCAGCTGCAGGCCTCGGAAATGAGATATCTGAGAAAGGTGGTCCAAGTGACAAGAAGGGACAAAGTCCGCAATCAGACAATACGTCAAGATCTTGATACTCAGTCCTTACAAACCCGAGTGGATCAGTCACAGTTACGATGGTTTGGACATGTATGCAGAATGGGAGAAAATCGGCCACCATGGCAGGCATGGGAGGCAAAGAACCAGGGAACCAGACCTCCAGGATGACCCAGGGTGCGCTGGGAAGACAACATCCGACAGTCCCTAACTGACAAAGGACTGGAATGGAACAAAGCTAGAAAGAAAACTGCTGATAGAGACGTCTGGCGATCTCTCTGGCAAACCTCTACACCCCAAGGTAGAAGAGGAGCGACGAAGTAAGTAAGTGAGTTTCTGTTTCTGTTTTTCTTCTTCCATTATTTTATGTTTGCTGTTCACAGCCGTACGTTAAAACTGGTTCTACTAACACATGGAAAAATAACTACATATATTTATGATTTGTAAAAAAAAGTCTCTACACTGGAACCCACAGGGCAAAAAAAAAAAAAAGTAGGAAACCTAAAACACACAGGAAAGATCAATGGAGAAATAGATTAACAATGTGGGAAGGGCAGTGAAAAAGGCTGCAGAAGATAGCAGCAGACTGGAGGGTTTGGTGTGAGTTGCTGAAGGACCTGAGCTCTGATTGACGATAGTGTATGAAAAAGTTATGTCACTTGAAAACAGCGATTAGTGTTGTAAATACTTTGATGAATTGACAAGTTTTCCTTCATAGAGTGAAAGCAAACCACAACAGCTATCTACGTATGCCCTGACTTTATTCAACCACAAAGAACAGATAGATGGAAAACCTGTTTCTGTTGGTAAGTAACTGTTTGTAAAGAGTCCATTTTCCTGACTTTTTGTTTACTGGGTAAATGGGGCTAGTTCCATATGTTTAGACAAATTGACACTTAGTGGATGATGTGGTCAGCTCTTTGGCAGCCGCCTTTTCTGTCCAGGGAATTTCCCAATATTTATCTTAGGGCAAGAAAACCTGGTCTTCTTCTGTATTTCATATGCATGTGGGTGAGTGAATCTATGTGTGGGTGTATATGGGTATGAATGTATGTACGTATGTATGTATGTGTGCGTGCGTGTATGAATGTATTAAGTATGTCTGTGTGTGTGTATGTATGAGCATGTTAGAGTATATGTACGTGTGTTTGAGTGTGTATAATTGTGTATGCTTGATGTGTGTATGCATTATTCTATAATGTATATTTTTCTTTTTAAACATAACATGCAATGTTGTTTTGAAAGATGAGTACTTAGAAGGGCCGATGTGCCTCTGTGTGCCCAATTTGTAACCCTTTAAAAAAATAAGTTTGTTTGCTTGTTTGTTCATATCCTAGAGAACTCAGGTCCTCATTTCACTCCTAGTCTCTTCCATTATTGACAGTGTTTAGGCACTGGTGTTTTCTTGTTCAGCATACAGAACATATTTTCTTTGTCAATCTGATGCCTGGAGTCCAGCAAGTCATGTGATGTGGAAGACACAGACCCTTTTCTATTGGTTTTATGAAATGGGTTAATTAAAAACGCAATCTTCATTCCAACTTTACGTCACCAGTATCAGGCCTGGACATTAAAGAGAGAGAGAGAGCATGAGAGAATTGGAGCAGTTAGTCAGGAAACCATTTGGGAGCCACCTGTCGTTACATCAACCAGAACAGAATTGGAGTTGTTAGTTTAAAAACGCTTGGAGACATAATCAGGAGGAGATCGGAGCACTTATGTCTGATGTGCCGTTCGATGAAGATGATATTTAAAATAAACAAGGAATTGAGACACAAAACCAGTAGAGATTGTGTGAGAGGTTTAGAGATTAGACGAACTGTTGGAGCATAACCCATAATTAAATCCATTGAGAAAGAAACATTGAAATGGTTTGGCCACCTTATAACAATGAATCCACATCTATGTGAGATCACGCAGAAGAAAAATGAAAAGATCAAGAAGCACAGGGCGTCCTAGAAGAAGATGGATTGAAAGGATCACTGACAGCCTACCATCACAATATACCAAGCAACTGAACCCCTCCTAGATTGGCTACCACTTGTCTGTTGAACTATGATGTCTTGTGGCAGACAGCAGTTATTGACAACATACACAGAAACAAAAACAACAACAACAAAAAAAAAAAAATTGGTTTCCATATATATTTTTTGTGGAAGTTTTTTTTTTTTTTTTTTTTTAATGTTCTGCACATTTTATTTTTTTTTAATCATTAAAGATGTATAGAACTGTGTATGTTTTTGTGCAGATTTTTGGGACACTGCTGGTCAAGAGAGGTTTAACAGCATGCATCCTTCATATTACCACCAGGCACATTGTTGTATATTGGCAAGTATTTGTAGTTTTTTTTAAACGTTGAGTGTTGAATAAGGAATCAAAATCAAAATTTTTCTTTTCCCAGGAGTTATTTATGAAATAAACATAAATTATTATTTATAAAATGTTTGTCAGCTGGTACATATTTACATTATTTGCTATTTGCCAGTCGCTTGTAAGTAATAATGCTAACTTGAATTACTAACAATGGAATATCTTTGGCAGGTTTTTGACTGCACCCGTAAAATAACATACAAAAATTTGCCAGAATGGCTGCGAGATTTGCGACAGTACAGGCCAGAGATACCATGTTTGTGTGTGGCAAACAAAATTGATGGTAAGTCTGGAGACAGAAGTAATTCATGATTTCTGGTTTTTATTTTTAAATTTTATTCTGTGCTCAGGTAGTTTTTCAAAGAAATAGAGTCGAGTTGTGGACCAATATATGATGAGTAAAGATTATCAAGGGTTTTGGAGTTTCTCTTTTGGGTGACTGATGTAAAATGTTCTTCTTCTTCTTTCATTCGCTTGAAATAAATTATATCTGCAATGCTATCTCTAGTATGAACTTCATTGTCTTTTGTAATTCACTAAGCGGCCTGTAAAGTTTGGCTTCAATCAGTGTCTCTCTTGGCCAGAAGTTTTGCCTGGAAATGTTTTATTTGGGACAGTCTTGAAGCATGTGATCTGTTCTCTCAGGTACCAGTCTACATGTGCACATGGCTGTTAGACAGTCTTAAATTTTTTGTACATGTGGCTACAAAGTCGATTATGTCCTGCTCTGGTCTGTCCATAATATGGTTATTGTCTTGTGCCAGTTTCAGTGGTTTTCTGATTGATTTGATTATACTCTTCTTCTGTTGATAAGAAACTGGTACGTCAGGTTGTTCTTCAGTTGCACCTTCCTTAGTTAATTTATCAGCTCTTTCATTTCTGAGAACTCCACAGTGGGACGGTATCCCCAGCATAGTTACTTTTCACCGGTTGCCTAGCTTAGATAGTAGTGTCCGTAAACCTGGTAATTTTCCAGACTGGAGTGCCTGAAGTACTGCTTTTGCATCTGTCAGGAATAGCGCTGGTTGCAAAGTTCCATTCCTATGGTGGCATGTTGTGCTTTTTGCTGACACAGCATATAACTTTATTTGGCTTGTTCTGCCAGTGTCACCAGATCACTGAACAGTCTCCGTCACTTTCTATCCTGTTTTCCATGTGGCTTTAAGGGCCCCATTTGGGGTCAGGGGAATAGACACACTGCCACCCCCTTAAAGAGCATATCAAAAAAGGCGATTCCCCGTGTGGGTTCCGGGGCCTGATAGGGAAAGCAAGAATAGACCCACTGTCTACCCAAAAGCATGTCGTTAAGAGTCAGCTAATTGGGAGCTTTCTTCGTGTTGGAGTACATCTGTCTGAGAAGCAAGGAACCAACAGTCTGCACACAAATGAGTCAGATCTGTCAAATCTATGCACACGCAACACTCAGTTTTTGAAACAGGACTGCAGTCCTGAAGTGGACGAACAACCAGATCTTTCCACCAGAGTTTATAGCCGGTGAGCGTGAAGTAGAAGAAAATAAAAGGTGACTAATTGGGAACATGCGCCCTTTATCCCCTAGTGGAGCATAGGCCCTCATCCAACTTACACCAAATCATTGTAATTTTTCTATTGCATGCAGCTCACATCTTCTCCATCTGATTAACTTACCCTCTAGTTCTCTTTTCCACATACAATTTATTCTACTTTTATTTCTAACTCCTTTGTATTCTGTATCTTTATTGCGTGTCCTATCCAGCACCGGGAAAAGAAATAAAACCAAATGTAAAGTATATTAGCAAGCTTTACAATATAACAAATACAAACAAAACATGAACGTTGAGGCTATGGAGCCTTCATCAGCACATACACAAATCAAACAATCCCACACAGATACACACACACAAAAAGTATGAAAAAAAATCAATAGTAAAAATTGAATAATAAAAAAAATGTGTTGAAAAGTATATTATAAAAAATAAAAAATAAAGCGTAATAATGGATGAGTGGATAGGTACAAACAGACAGTAGCAGTTCTGGGTGAGCGGGACACATGAGGTAGGTGAAATTGATGAACTGCTGTGAAGCTATAAAAATATAAAGAAAAGATATAAAACCGAACGAAAAGTATATTAGCAAGCTTCACAATATAACAAACACAAACAAAATGTGAACGTTGCAACTATGGAGCCTTCATCAGCCCATAGACAAATCAAACAATACCACAGACATAAACACACACAAAAAAGAATAGAAAAAATGAATAATAAAAAAGTGTTGAAAGTATATTTCAAAAAATAAAAACCGTAATAATGGATGAGTGGGACAGGGAGTTTCCACACGTGATGATTTACTAATAATTTTTTTATATTTTACTCCCAAAGCTCCACATTAGTGATTCTCTCACTCCATTTAATTATCCGCTGTGTGTTTACAAATACTTCCAGAGGACATGGACATGACAAAGAAAACTTTTGCATTTGCCAAAAAGAACAACATGCCCTTCTACTACGTCTCTGCAGCAGACGGGACGAACGTGGTCAGGGTGAGTTTCACTTTTGTCATATTGTCATTTAACTCTTTTTCTCCCATGCAACACGTGTGTGAATGATTCTTCACAACTGTAGCATATTGTGTTATTTTTTATTAACTTGTCACGTTTGATCCGAGCATTCTAATGTAATCAGAGTTTTCACTGAGGTTACTTTCTCTGAGTATTTTTCCTAATAAAATAGATCGACTTGTTATTTTTCATAGTGATTACTACTCTTTGTTTATGTGTGTGTGCGCGTGCATGTTTGTATACATGTATAATGTATGTATGTGTGTGCATGCCTGGATTGTTGTGCGTGCGTGTGTGCATGAGAGAGAGAGAGAGTGCACAAGTGGAAGTGTGTATGTCATGTGATGAGAAAAGGAGCACTGGAAAATATTGTGAAGACCAGAAAGATCACTGGTAGAAGAGGCAGAGGTAGACCAAGAGAAAGATGGTGGATGGCTTAAGACAGTGGCATGGAGGAAAATCATCAGTGGAATTGATTCAGAACACCAAAGACTAAGATCTTTCGAGATGCATAAATGCCTATGCTAGCAGGCAAGGCACTTGATGATGATGATGACCCAGATGACTCCTTGCTGTCTTGGTCTTCATGGGGGTTTGGTCTTCTTGTATTTATATCATAAACAGGGCCAAAAAAGGTTTTTTAATTTCATTAGGAAATTGTGAAAGTCCAAATATATTAAACTCAAACGTTTAACTTTAACTGATGATCAAAACTACTATGTTGAATCAAAACTAGTGTTCTGTAGTTAAGAGAGAATAGAGACAAACAGTTTCAGAACTTACAGGAATCTGTCAGAATATGCAGTGAAGCAACGGACAAACAGTTTCAGGACTTACAGGAATCTGTCAGAATATGCAGTGAAGCAACGGACAGACAGTTTCAGAACTTACAGGAATCTGTCAGAATATGCAGTGAAGCAACGGACAAACAGTTTCAGAACTTACAGGAATCTGTCAGAATATGCAGTGAAGCAACGGACAAACAGTTTCAGAACTTACAGGAATCTGTCAGAATATGCAGTGAAGCAACGGACAGACAGTTTCAGAACTTACAGGAATCTGTCAGAATATGCAGTGAAGCAACGGACAGACAGTTTCAGAACTTACAGAAATCTGTCAGAATATGCAGTGAAGCAACGGACAAACAGTTTCAGAACTTACTTACAGGAATCTGTCAGAATATGCAGTGAAGCAACGGACAGACAGTTTCAGAACTTACAGGAATCTGTCAGAATATGCAGTGAAGCAACGGACAGACAGTTTCAGAACTTACAGGAATCTGTCAGAATATGCAGTGAAGCAACGGACAGACAGTTTCAGAACTTACAGGAATCTGTCAGAATATGCAGTGAAGCAACGGACAAACAGTTTCAGAACTTACAGGAATCTGTCAGAATATGCAGTGAAGCAACGGACAAACAGTTTCAGAACTTACAGGAATCTGTCAGAATATGCAGTGAAGCAACGGACAGACAGTTTCAGAACTTACAGGAATCTGTCAGAATATGCAGTGAAGCAACGGACAGACAGTTTCAGAACTTACAGGAATCTGTCAGAATATGCAGTGAAGCAACGGACAAACAGTTTCAGAACTTACAGGAATCTGTCAGAATATGCAGTGAAGCAACGGACAGACAGTTTCAGAACTTACAGGAATCTGTCAGAATATGCAGTGAAGCAACGGACAAACAGTTTCAGAACTTACAGGAATCTGTCAGAATATGCAGTGAAGCAACGGACAAACAGTTTCAGAACTTACAGGAATCTGTCAGAATATGCAGTGAAGCAACGGACAGACAGTTTCAGAACTTACAGGAATCTGTCAGAATATGCAGTGAAGCAACGGACAGACAGTTTCAGAACTTACAGGAATCTGTCAGAATATGCAGTGAAGCAACGGACAGACAGTTTCAGAACTTACAGGAATCTGTCAGAATATGCAGTGAAGCAACGGACAGACAGTTTCAGAACTTACAGGAATCTGTCAGAATATGCAGTGAAGCAACGGACAAACAGTTTCAGAACTTACAGGAATCTGTCAGATTATGCAGTGAAGCAACGGACAGACAGTTTCAGGACTTCACTGCAGCCAACCTATCTTGTGGACAAGATACTTAATTATTGAATGATTTGTGGTATGGTTGAATTAAATGGATTGCTCTGTGTTTATGTTGCCAGTTGTTCAGGGATGCCATCCGAGCTGCTGTGGCGTACAAGAATAATTCTACAGACTTCATGGACGAGATTATGAAGGAGTTAGAGGTATGTTTAAACCTATTGCTTTTTAGCCTTTTAGGGGCAAAATGTAGTATATTATATGGGAGATTTTGAATTGAAATTTTTTTTTTTTTCAATTCTTAGAATACCATGAACCAAGAAGAAGAAAAATATCGACATCTAACATGTCTAAACATCAAAGAAAACTGGCTCATAAACAGCATCCTACCTCAGAAGCTGAGGTGTTATTAGCCATGCTAAACATCATGGCCGCTTGGAAAAGAAAGTGATAGAGGGTACAGTTTATGGAAAGCGAGGCAGAGGTTGACCTCCCTGAAGGTGGATACATGACATTGAAGATGTATTGGCTAAGAAAACACATAGGGCTGGAAAATTTGATTAGAGAGAGACTTTTATGCTTACTGTGACGAGAGCTACGTTTTGTTGAGAACCTTCTAACTGATGATGACCAATAGCTTTTACTTTAGAGATCGGCTAATGGGAGGATGTGTGTTTACATGTGTAATGACGTATATATAATAAGAAAATTTGCAGTGAGGATACATTATTAGATGAGAATGAGGTTTCAATATAATAAGTTTCTTAATGAAAAAAAAAAGAAAAAGATAGAAAGAGGAAATAAAGAAAAAGTTGGAGATATTAAAACAGAATGAAAGTTTAAAAAAAATGAAAAAAGTCTGAATGAAATGAAAGTAACAAACATGTAGAAGAGGAAAGGAAAGCAGCAAACAAGAAGGAAAAAACAGGAGAAAAATAAAACGCAGCTGTGGGACATTCTAGAAGATATAACGGAAGAAACGACAACTTCTGTGACTTTGTCAAATGTTTTACTACACTAACTACATTTCATCCGTTAACATAAACACAACAGAGTATCCATACCTCGGACGACTGAATCAGAACTAGTAACCAGGGGGTCTGGACAGCTTGCGAGATCAGTGAGCTGCAATTCTGGTGCTGGCCTGTTAGTGTTGGCACATCTAACATGGATTTTACTTTGTGTATGCAAGGTTTAAGATTTTACTGGGCCTGACAAGTTTTTCACTAGTTTTGAACTTGGAGAGTGAAGGACATTTTGTGTGATTTTTACTGGCACAGGAATGAAGCAGTTGTGGAGCAACCCGTCTGAATGATGTTGGAACTTCAACTACCTAACTAACTGGATGATTTGAGCATGCACAGGAAAAGACAGGCATACTTTCATCAGGGTTGCAACTGTCACTATCAGTAGTGGGACTCTTTGTCTGCTACTAAGGACAGGGACAGAGTAATCGTAGGAATACTCCAGTGCAGTGATGTCAATTCTCCATTCATTCATTTAGTAAAACACAACCTACATTCAACTCATCTCATACATGACTTTCATACCTTCCTCAGAATTTCAAACTTGACCCCATACCCAGCAGAACAAAAGCCAAAAAAGTTGAGGACACTGCAAATGGAGACAATGATGTCTCCCACGAGGCAAATTTGATTATATCCTGAAGTTAGGCTAAAATGTATACATACTGTTTAAAAAACTGTTTTGATATTAGACTGAAAGGCATTTTGAAGTTAGATTAATTATGAAAATATAATTAGATTTGACATTAGATTTAAAGAGTTATCACAATACATTGAAAAAAGATGAAAGCTAGTAGTAGATTTAAATTCATTAAATTAGATCAACAAAGAGCAGCTTGTAAGACATGTGAAATAAATTATCTTAGGGAAAGGAAAGGCAGCCTGGAATCTAAAGTAGGGCATATGGTTTGCAGGGTATAGCAGAGCTTTAACTTGATCTGTATCTGGTCTCGGAGGGAGTTTCATCGGTAGACAGAGCCTTAATGTGGTGGCAGATCCTGCTGCTTGTTTTGATTTAAATGGGTTGATGTTACCTTGATGTGACCACACAAGAGATAAAGCGACACCATCAGGAGCAACCTAACAGAAATGAACACCAACTTGTACAATGCATTTGAAAAAGCGCATGAATGATCCTTACATATCCCCTTAACACCTCGCTGAGGTAAATGGTGGAAGAGAAGAAGAAGAAGAAGCTGTTACTTTCCTTTGGAATAAACACCCAGAGGGATCACGTGTCTCTGCAGAACTGCCCAGGGGAGTAATCTTGGCTTGCTGAGCGAGGGATTTTCCTGTATGGGCGACATGTGATCTCTACAATGCATTTGTTATTCTAGTGTCAAACCAGTACTGCTGTATGGAGTGGAAACATGGAGAACAACTAAAACTGTTACTGATAAACTACAAATATTCATTAACTGGTATCTGTGCATGTTAGAAGGAATTAGTTGGTATGATAGAATCACTAATGTGTAGCTTTGAAAAAGAAGTAAACAAGTTACAGTGGGCCAGGAGGTAAAGAAAAGATGCTGTTGTTGAGAAAACCTGAAAACAATATAACTAGAATCTCTTTTGCACTGAAACCCACAGGGGCATAGAACTAAAGGCAGACCAAAAAACGCATGGAGAAGGGAGCTAGAGAATGAAGTTAAAAAGATGGGGAGGACCTGGGGTTGAGCTGCATGCAATAGCGAAGGATAAAAAGACTTGGTGTGAGTTGGTTGAGAGTCTGTGCTCCATTGAGGCAGAAGAAGAATTTGACTTCAATTGTGACTGTCTCAAGTAATGTAGTGACAGTTTATAAACATTTATACAATGACAGTTTCATATACAGATAATTATATCTATTTTCAGGTAATTATGTTTTGTATGTGTTTAAAACATTTTTTGATAACTTGTATGATGTAGAAGTGTGAAGAGAGTTATGTATTTGATTTGCATTGTTTTACGAGAAACTAACATTCTGCACACAGACAACCCCGATCAGTATAATGGATGTGAACAAAAAAATCATGACCAAAGTCCAAAAATTGACAAATAACCAATATTTTCTATCAGAGTTCATAGGTGGCAAACCTAAAAACAAGACTGTGTCATTTGCATGTTTTTAGTTTACATAAATTGTTGCCAAAATGTTTTCTTTACTGAAGGTTGGCTTTTTCTTTCTTTCAAATAATCATATTTCCTAATAAGTTATTTGTGAGCTCTCTTTAACCTTTTTATCCCAGAAACCCTCTAGGGGAAAAATTGCACAGAAACTGGGAATTCCCAGATAAAAATCCTCATAAAATGAACGATCTTACATGGGTGACCAAAACATTGTGTCTTTAAATTTATTTAAATCATTTTTAAAAAATCTTTCCCCTGAAAATAAGAAGATGGGTAATCAATATTATGAACGGATTGAAGAATTTAATTGATGACATTTTTGGGGGCCTTGGAAAATGAATCTGGTGACTCATACAGTGATCTTGTGATCGTGTAACCTAACACTTCAACATCAGAATGGCTTTAAAACACCAGGGTTGGTCTGGGTTCAATAATAAGCAGTAGCGTGATTATATTTGCTACCAGTTGCATTCTGGGTGTGTCCCAGCCCTGTACAAATGAATATGAGACAACTTCCCCAACTTTCTAGGAAATGTCTGGTAAGGAATGGCAACAAAACAGGAACCTGACCGCCCTACCCCATATTAAATTAAGGGTGCCATCTCCACAAGGAAGGTTGACTACACTGTACCCACTGCTGTCTTTGGGAATATTACATGCTGAGGCCACAGTCTCTTCCATAGTGTGATTCTTGTACTACTGTCTGAATTAGTTTTTCACTGTTTACGGCAGCAAATCAATCTGTAGAAATTCAAGAATCATAAAATTGTTAAATTTTTTTCACCCCGAGAGCTCTGTACAAAAAAAATAGGTCATGACCCCATTAGGATTCCGGAAAATAAAACTGTAAAAACAATGTTTACACAAGTCACTAAGAAATTCATTACAAATTTATTTACCGACATTCCACAATTATTTTTTGAAATATCTAAAGAGATATGTGAAAAGGGTAATTAGTAAACATGAACAGGGTGAAGTATTACACTCAATACATCCCCTGGGACCTCAAAAACACACACATAACAGGTGCCTCATGACCCTGTGACCTTTACCACTGAGGTTTATGAGAAAATATGACGTCATATTGGCTTTAAAAAAAGCCTCTTTAGCAAAAGGAAATCCTCTCTGAATGCTATTATTATTGAATTTCTTCATATCCTGACCTGAACGTTTGAGCAGGCACAACAAACTCAGCCAGTTGCAGTAATTACACATCTCATAATCAGGTCACAATGAGCAAGTCGGAAAAGTTACATTTATGGGGAACTGGATCCAGCCGGCATTGTCAGGTTTCGTCTTCTCAGGGCAAAAAGGTTAAGGTTAAAAGCACTTATTCACCTCTGAACCTTGGAGCAACACTCGCCCTAAAAGTTAAAAACGCCTTGAAATTCACACAGCTGGGCTACCTGTATCATAATAAATGATATCTATTTCTCGGGTTTTGAAAGATAATCATTATTTATTTTTTTAAATTGTGTCTTTAATTTCCGTGCCAGTTTTAATTTTAAACAACTTAAATAATGTTGTGTTTTGTATTTTATATCTGTTTTTAAAGGGTTTTTTACAAGCATTTGTGAAAGCTGGTAACTGTATTTGTAAACACTATAATTTTTGTCAGTGTGTCGCAACCAATTTTTTTTTTTTTTTTTTGGGAAGTTGTGTCTTTTCTTTTATTCTGTAAATTTTTGACTTCTCCTGTTGCCTATTTCCAAATTATGTGTGCTTTTCTCTTCCCAATGTTTTTAATCTATATTTTTTCTGCCTTTTCTTTTTAAAATTTATCTTCATGTATTTCCAGGTTAAAAAACTATGTTTTCCTATTGTAAGTTAAAAATGTGGACACAAACAATACACTGGACAGTTGCCTGGCATATTTTGTTAGGTAGACAACTTCTACAGCCTAGTATGATTGGGCCAAGAGGTTTATAAGAACACTTATTGAATCAAATTTAAAATTGGATCATCCGGGATACTAGAAAGATTGTGCCTACTGCCAACTTGACTAAAGATAGCACAAAGCAATCTTCAGACTCCATATAGGACATAAAAGGATAAAATACCACTGGTTCAATAAGCTACAGATAAGAGATACTAATGATTGATAAGAGATACTAATGATTATGACTGAAACTGTGAAGATGGCAGGAAAACATTTGCTGCAAGGGTTTTCAATATATGCATACTGAAAATTATTATGACCAGCACCTGTTCGTTTTGACAGACAGACTCTTTCCTTGTTGGTTCCGGGACCCCATTGTGGGAAGACAAGAATAGACCCACTGCCTACTCAACAAGTATGTCATTGGCATCAACTAATTAGGAGAGTCATTCGAAGTCAGAGAACATCTGCCTGAGAGGCAAAGAACCAAGAGTCTACATACAATTAAAATTAAGCCAGATGGTGTGAAATGCAACAGTCAGGTTCAGGAACAAGACTAAAGTCCAGAGGGGGAAACACCCAGAACTTTCCGCCGGAGTTTACAGCTGGTGAATATGAAGAAGACGACAGACTCATGTTCTGCTTTCTGTAAATATGTTTAAGTTTATGCCTGAAACATGTGAAGAAGATGAAAACAGGATTTGGTACTTCCGCAGGGCTACACATTTTGTACTGAAATGTTGAAGACAGTTCTGAAAGGTGTATATAGAAATTCATTTTTAATGAGACAATCACAAAATGTGGGCAATCATTTGGGGAGACAGTTTACAGATGTCTCAACATTGCGTTTATACAGCTACTTCCAAAGACAGGACCCCAGAAAATCTGGCCATAAATTGACTTAAGTGTTTGGTTCTTTCCAAAGATATAACTCCTTGGAAACTGATTTTGACTGACTTTATATCTAGCTTTCTTCACAGACAGGACCCCAGAAAATCTGGCCATAAATTGACTTAAGTGTTTGGTTCTTTCCAAAGATATAACTCCTTGGAAACTGATTTTGACTGACTTTATATCTAGCTTTCTTCACAGACGGGACTAAGGGAAGTGACCAGGAACTGACAAAAATGTTCAGCTGGTGAACAAAGAAGAAGAAAGATATGACTAAGGGAACTGACCATAAACTGATGTAGACATAACTCCAGAAAAATTTTGCTTTGACCTAGATGTTTGGTTTTTTCCCTAAAACATGACCATTAAAATTATCATTGACTGACCTAAATATCTTGTTCTTTGCAAGGACTTTACTTTAGACAAATTGACCTTGGACTGATATTGATTATTTTGTGTGTGTTTATTTTAGATAAATTACTCCAGGCAGTACACTGATGAATATCTTCAAAGGCATTAATTGGCACTCGTACTAGTAACCAGGATACTGGGCTACAAGCTGGTATCAGTGAGATGACAAAAGAAGAAGTAGAAGCTGGAGAATACACTAGATAGAACAAATGCAAGCTATAGGTATGTCAGAGAATACACTAGATAGAACAACTGCAAGCTATAGGTATGTCAGAGAATACACTAGATAGAAACAACTGCAAGCTATAGGTATGTCAGAGAATACACTAGATAGAACAACTGCAAGCTATAG